CCTGCAACCCATCGGTCACGAGCCCGGCGTCCTACCACTAGACTACTGTGCCCCCTAGTATATTTTCCGATGCCGGAAAAAGGCAAACATTTGAGAGAGAAAAGAAGATTCACATAGAGCTTTATCGGGTGTTGTGACAGTATACAGGAGCTACGGGTACCTTCAATATTAAATGATAAGCGATAAGTGTCACAAGAGGTTACCTGGCTATCTAACACTGACAAGAGTATAAGACTTTTTCATGCACAGGGGTGTAGGATAGGGAAATTCCGCCCGAGTTTTTTTCAAATTTGGTAAAACCCCAGGTTTTGCCGAGAGTTTTGTCAAATTTGAAAACCCCGAGGGTGGACGGCTCTATCTAACACACAGGGAACCTCCCCGGTACATGAATCTTATACCAGTCGGTACAAGGGAAGTAACTCTAGAGACCTTGTTAGTTTTGTACCATCAATTGAAACACTGCCGCGTCATCACAAGAATTAATTTCATTCCTTGAAGAATGTTTGAAAATATTGAAAGTATTTCCTTTTTTCTCGCTAGACCACTAGACGCAACCTTGTATGTAAAAGGCCGATTTTTCTATTTCCAAATATGTGAAAATTCAGTAACAAATAACAATAGCTTGGCTATATGTCTGCTCTTTTTTTTGGGCAAATCCTTCTGTAATCTTACAGAACTAAAGAATTGTATTCCGATCTCTGAACTGTATTCCGTTAGACTCTGACGCCTGTGTCTGGGCATCTGACAGCTTTGTTTAGACTTCTGACGGTTGTGTCTGAACATTTGACGCCTGTGTCTAAACCTCTGACGGCTGTGTCTGAACATTTGGCGACTGTGTCTAAACTTCTGACGGTTGTGTCTGATCATTTGACGCCTGTGTCTAAACTTCTGACGGTTGTGCTGAATATTTGGCGACTGTGTCTAAACTTCTGACGGTTGTGTCTGAACATTTGACGACTGTGTTTAAACTTCTGACGGTTGTGTCCGAATATTTGACGACTGTGTTTAAACTTCTGACGGTTGTGTGACGACTTCTAATTGCTGTGTCTAGATTTCTGATGTCTATGTCTTGATTTCTGACGCCTGTGTCTGGACATTTGACGGCTGCTTCTAGACTGAAGATACCCGTATTTAAACGTCTAATCGCTGTGATAGACACTGGGGTGTCCAGACTAAAATGCGGAAGTACATATCTGGAATTCAGAGGTATGTTTTTAGACCACTGATCACGGCGTGCTTCCGGGAATTCTACCAGTTAAAGGAATCATTAAAATAACACACGGTATCATGAAAATCGCAAGAAGTGGTTTCGGAATACAAGTAAGCAATTTCAAGCGGACATTAAAAATAATTCAAACACCCCAAATAGAAACAGGATATAATAAATGTATTTCACTAAAAGCAATATCAGAATCGAAGGTAAAAAGACTTCATTCATGTAAGTGACAACGTATGAAGCATGAGCTCTGTGACGTACCCATATTACCTCCACCCTGAAATAATCGTTCTTCTCTATCTTAAACAAACTTTTTTTCCTGTTATCTCCAGCAGTTTATTTAAAAGAACTGACAGCCATTCTACCAACCCCTACTTTGAAGTCGATAGCGTTAGACCAGGCCTGCATGGAGGGTTTATGTATAACACGTTCTGGGTGTTATGTAATCTTCCGTCTAGTATGGTGGCTTATATATGACGTTTCTTCTTTTCGCTTTGTCGCCCGCGAAAATTCCCCAAGAGATAAAACGAAATAACGAAAAAACAGAAAACCCGCTTTAAGCGAAAAAACCCGAAATAACGTACGTCCTTTAAACAAATGGTTTCCATTTGTCGAATGAGGGTACCCCACTTAATTTTGTATGTATTTAACTCTAGATCTACTTACTACAAAAGTTGAGTCTGTCAAGATCAGGGTCAAAGTGATCGGCTGAAGTTAGTGCGAAGGTGGCTTGAAATGTGCTTATAAATCTGTCAAGCGCTGATTTCATGTGTTGACGAGCGATGTCGATAGATTGGTGGATTTAACAGATTGAAATAAACATCTGGTATTAAGCATGACGTCAGTTTTCATTATTTATCGTCTGTCGACCAAATTGAATAGCAACTGAAAATGAAAAACCCTTCCCAAATACATCCAGGTTAAGTGAACAAAATAGGACAACTGCTCACATGGTTAGAAATAATAAAACGCACAGCTTGTTAAAAATGAGGACATGTAGGCATCAAGTGACCAATGTTAGCGCGCGCAAAATAACAGCCTTATTGCAATTATTAGATTATCAAGCAACCATGCTTATCATACGCGTAGTGTGAACACTAAAGTAGACACGAAAAAGACTCTAATCACATTTTACTCGGTAGAATAAATATAATGAATATATGTACTTGTATATATATCACGGTGAAAAATATAACTCGGTATTCGAGAATGCTGAAAAATAAATAACTCACGCCGCAAGTGGCCCTCATTAATTATCTTTTCAAACATTTTCTCACTCTTGTTATATATTCCACCATGCTACACACACACACATACGATATTTCTTTAATATATTTAGCACATAGTTTTGGCAGATCCACAAAGCAACAATATTTTCATCAAACAGTGTCATCAATGGTCATAGTTTATCAAACTGCCCATATTTTTTTCTTGATTTTGCACACAAGTTTCGAGTCCATAACAAATAGCCTCCATTAGTGATCTATATATTTCTACTAAACCCATGTTGACAGAACATCCAATATTGACATATGACGTAGAGGAGTGCATTACATTTGTACATGTACATCAGTGAATATACTTGAAATATCACAATAACATTTCTATGTACTAGCTGTTGAAGTGGCCATTACAAACGTCCCTGTCGGAAAACAGCGTTGTGTAAACTTTATGAAAGACTGTTTCTTTTTTCCGGCCTTTTATGTAGTGCAATTGGCTATGTGTGGGGGATTGAACGAGTGGTTAGCACTCCGGCCTTTCACGCAGGCGACCGGGGTTCGATCCCCGAAGTCGTCGTACGCATGGATATTTAGAGAAAGTGCTTTTCTCCTGCTGCCCATACAACTCCAACAACCCAGGTAGAGTATACATCGGATTGGGTAGATGTTGCAATATCTGTGCTGTAGCATTCGAGTGAGGTGGCGCTATAAATGATACCGTTGGAAGCACGGTCCCTCTTCAAACAGAACACATTACATCTCCAGCACACACTCAGGCATACACACAAATGGAGATATTAGCCAGGTGGCATATGACTAGTAGTTAGCGCCTGCTAAGGCAGCTCCTGCGAATTCCTCAAAACTTGTTTTGATTAATGCATATATGCTAATTGTATCAATTGTATATTTATGTACTGTAAAGCGCCTTAGAGTGGCTTATGTTAGCTAGATAGGGCGTTATATCAAATGTTGTATATTATTCGACGAAAGCTTAATAGATTGGTTTGGTGACAGTCTTTGACTGGAGCCTTAGAGGGGAAAGATTTGTTTGGACAACAACCTTCCTACTGGAGTGTTAGCGATGAAGGATTTGTATGGACAACAACTTTTCTACTTGAGCCTTAGCGATGAAAGATTTGTTTGGACAACAACCTTTCTACTTGAGCCTTAGCGATGAAAGATTTGTTTGGACAACAACCTTTCTACTTGAGCCTTAGAGGTGAACGATTTGTTTGGACAACAATCTTCCTACTGGAGTCTTAGCGATGAAGGATTTGTTTGGACAACAACTTTTCTACTTGAGCCTTAGCGATGAAAGATTTGTTTGGAAAACAACCTTCCCACTGGGGTCTTAGAGGTGAAGGATTTGTTCAGACAACAACCTTTCTGTTTGAGCCTTAGCAATGAAAGATTTGTTTGGACAACAACCTTTTTACTGGAGTCTAAACGGTGAAAGATTTGTTTTGACAATAACCTTTCTGTTTGAGCCTTAGCGGTGAAGGCTTTTTAAGACCGTCTTACCACCATCAATTTGGAGGTAATTTGACTTGGTCAAAGTGACAGCCTTCTCAGTAGAGTCTTGAATGTGAAATATTTGTTTTAGTAACAGCGTTTCTTCTGGCGCCTTAGAGGCGGTATCGGATGTTTGGCATTATGCTTGTAGCCGCATCTTAGGAATATGCTGGTACGCAGATGAATCCACCAATATACATTTATATATATATATACAGAAATACAAAACAAAACAAAAGCACTTCTTGTTGCGACCCCTTGTTTCCCTACCAAGGTCCTGTCCTAGACATACTTCTAAAGTAATCCACTCCGAGCAAGGGCTAGCTACGCCCCTGATATTTGTATTAATCAGACGAGGATAACTCAATGTTATAACTTCATATAACAAAAAAGTGTGTTTAAAGTCAAGTGTTCCAACTTGTGATATATAAAAAACATCGTTTTCCACTATTTTATCTGGGTATTAAGGGCGGATTGGTTGAGTGGTCTTCCAAGCAGGCGGCCGGGGTTCGATCCCCGAAGTCGCCGTACGCATGGAATATTCAGAGAAAGTGTTTTTCTCCTGCCCACACAACTCCAACAACCCAGATGGAGTATAAAATGGTCTAGGGTGGGTGTGCGGTATCTGTACTGTAGCATTCAAGTGAGGTGGCACAATAAATGATACCGTTGGAAGCACGGTCCCGCTACAAACAGAACACAATACATTTCCAGCACACACACAGGCATACACACATAGGGAGATATTAGCCAGGTGGCATAGGACTAGTAGCTAGCGCCTGATAAGGCAGCTCCTGCGAAATCAGGCTAATATTGTATTGATTAATATATATGCTAATTGTTTTGACTTTATACAATTGTATATCTATGTACTGTAAAGCGCTTTAGAGTGGCTTATGTTAGCTAGATAGGGCGCTATATCAAATGTTGTATATTTATTTATTTATCTATTTTATAAAGTTCAATATTGGTGCACCACACCGAACTACCTAACGTTTTAAAGTAGTGATGTAATGTGTGTGTAGTGTGCACAGGATTTTGCAATCGATAGCGCATCGTTCGGTAATCAGGCAGGCCGAACGGTTAGACCTAATGTTACGGGTATATTTGTATGTGTACACAGAAATGAACAGTGTGTAGAAGACTCAACCTGTCAAAAGGGGTAAACATTTCATTATTGCCTTTACTGAAGGACAAATAATTGCATGTACAAATGGCCTTGCGGCACTTAATCCGCAAATGTACCTAAGCCTTACCAAGTCTTTTCATAATCTTCCATATAATTTTTATGATTATGATGTTGGATAAGGAGATATTTTATGAAGTTTTTGTAAATCGTCTGAAACTTGAATACAAATCAAAAGGTTTATAGGATATTAATCTCTGTCTGAATAATATGTGTAATGTGTGTCAGCTGTTCCCGGAAGTGGCTGGTGTTTGTGACATAATACACGCTTCACTAAAGCTCTCGTGGGCTAACCGTCTGTTTGTAGGAACACATTCACGGATTTGTATACACGGGGACAATGAAATGTCCTTAACAATTTGTGGACACTTCATTTTATTCAGGTTGTGTTATAACTAGGTCAGAGTGGTCAGTCTTCAATAGTTAACATACATAAAACATTCATACATGCGTGTCCGTCCTGTCTTAGGAGGCGGGTACAGGTGAGGCAAAGATACGAAAGGAAAGGGCTAAAGGTATGTACAATTTTTCTTTTTGCAATTTTTTTTTGTATTATTTTTTTCCAAATTTATAACAATGTAAATATATCATACATAAGCATTATTCCTCTCGCACATTACAATTGATTCATTAAATATTCATTTATTATAAACTGCATATTTCCAGGTATAATTAATAATTAATTATGTTTATGTATAATTAAATTACAGCTAAATCATGTCCGTTATAT